GTGAGTTAGCTGTGCCCTGACGTAGATCAGCCCAGAGGTTGTTTGAGGGTTCGATCTGTGAGTTAGCCACGCCCTGACTTAGATCAGCACAGAGGTTGTTCCAGGATTCGATCTGTGAGTTATCCATGCCCTGACTTAGATCAGCCCAGAGCTTGTTTCAGGGTTCTATCTGTGAGTTAGCCATGCCCTGACTTAGTTCAGCTAAGACGTTGTTTCAGAGTTTGATCTGTGAATATGTCGTGCCGTGACTTTGATCAGCCCAGAGGTTGTTTCAGGATCTGTGAGTTAGCTATGCCTTGCCATGGATCAGTCCAGAGATTGTTTCATGGTATTGCAAWATTTGGGTTTTACCAGGTGGGCAGAGTTCACAAGCTTGTCTTGACGGTGACTTGAAGCTTCCTCTATTGCAGGGTTCACAATCGTACGTGTCAAATGCCACATCTCTGCAGATGTATCCAACTGTAATTAAGACCAGCCGGGAATTCGTGTTCTGACCTCGAATCACGATGTCGTTGGTTGAGGCCCTGCTCTGTAGCCTAACAGACACGAGACAAAGAAAATTTGAAACTGCTAAATTTTTTRATAAACTGTGAGACAAGGGCACTGAGTTTTTTATAGATCATAGCTTTAGGTTTGGCCTAATGTTTTATCCTTTTCAGACCACGTGTCATTCCCTTGAGAATAAGATTCTTTGTTTGAGTCAAATCCATATTCATGCGTCTTCTTATGTGCGACCGTTAAACAAAGACATTATACTCTAGGGAATGACACGTGGTCTAAAATGTAAAAAAAAAAAAAACTTCTCAAACCGGCCATCGGATTTTCTTATCGATTCATAGAAATTCCATTGCATTTTTCGCTAAACCAGTTTTAGCTGTCAAATTTACCGCTTTTCCCCGTAAACTTTAAATTTACGGATGCAAAAAATCCCGACGTTTCTAACGTAGTAGGCGTCGCAGACTCATAAATATCGTACAACGTTTAAAAATATTCTAAAAGTCATTTAAGAAAATAATCTCAAACTTACACGATGAAGGTTATGAGAGTTTTTGTGGGCCAAATGTTTAGCGGAACCGTCAACTGGGTGTCCAACAAATTTCTAGGAAAAAAGTGCTTTAATTAAAGTTATTTCCTGTCTCGGGTAGAATTTTCATCCGCTGAATTGTAGGAATTCTTRATTCTTATATCCCATTCACACCAAGGCTTAAACATGTTTAAAAGTGGTTTAACTAAACAGGTTTGGAGAACTATCTACGAACACTGCACAATATTTGGTAAAATAATGCATGTAAACTATCCTTTATCTTGCTCTGATAATATTTTACAAAGTTTCATTATATTGTAGTTTTCTAGTTTCTCAATTTTTTCCTAATGAAAACATAGTTTAACTAAACACGTTTAGGTGTGAATGGGGTATTTGTTTTCACGTGACGTCATYATTACGCTAAAATCCTAACTTAGTAGATTATTATTAACTTTATTTTTATTGATTATCCATGCTTTTTATGATTAAAATATTGAAGTGGGTGCAATAGAAACATGTTTTTCAACTTTCTTGATTTGGCCGCCATCTTTGTATYCTATTGAGTGTCACCAAGATGGCGGACCCATACAATTCAACTACATTGTTGACATAATCAATCSCTTATATCTTCGTATCTAAAACTTCTTTTAGCTAGAATTTTGTCTGAGATGTATAGTTTTTGCTTCTCTTTCGGYCTATTGAAGTTTTGTTTTATATAAACCGTGGCAAAATTTTTGATGACGTAGTTGAAAAGTAAGAATAGATTTYTTTGACAGCACGTGGTGGTCGTTGTTTGACCGTCATCATTTGAAGCAGATACTACTTAGTTCCTCACATGATTTTAAGACTTGGGAGTGACAGAAATGCCCCATCTTCAATAACTCTCAGCGGGTTTCCAGTTAACGATCTGTGAAAAGTTAAAAAATGGTACATAATATTTTCATCCTTTGTAGCTATTGCTACGCCAAAGGCGATGAGCGAAAAGCGATAGGAGATAGGTCATTCCAAGATCAAGCATTGCTGGAATGACTTGTGTTTCTGCTACTTATTCTCGTCAAGAACATGGACCTTAGTGTTGAGACTGATTCAATGTTCTTTGTATTCAACAAAACCATTTCATCTCCTTTGGCGATTACAACGGTAATCGAAATAGGTGTATCTTCGCACTGATGACGGCATGCAGTAAAAATTGCCAAAACATTTCTGTTGCCACTTAGTAGGTACAACCAAGTAAGCTCAAACTCGGTAATAGTACTAATATTCATTTTTTGTGATGGGTATCATTTCTAAATTCACTTAATATTTTTACTCGGCACCAGTCCCTTCCTCAATTCCCGGACGACCAATATACTGTTTTCTCAAGGTTGCGTGCGCATCCAAATTTAAAGAACTTGACGGGAAACGATACCAGAGCAGGAGCTTCTTAATGAGAAATATCAAACATTCCTATGAGAATTTTTTCGATAAGAATTCAGAAAATTGATTATTCTCATCTTTAAATATAAAACTGTCTTCTCAATTTTACTGAATTTGGGTTTTTCAAATTTTGTTGCGCACGCAACCTTGAGAAAACGGTCTATTGCAAAATCATTGTTGGGGTTAAAACATAGAACATAGTAACTGAGAACGAAACATATTTTGGAAAATGACATAATTATCCTCTGATGCATTCATTTGAGATACACAGTCGATATGAAACATGTGTTTACAGGCCTCCATGCCTATTTGTCAGTGCAACAACCGAAGAACATCCCACGAGTTATATCGCTAGATACAGTGGCAGATCCAGGATTTTTCAAAGGGGGGTTCCGTTTCTTAAACTGTGTATAATTCTCTTTTGTTTAGTCGACAAAAAAATTGGCTCTAATCACCTAATTTACTATCTAGTAACGGAACTTAAAGGTAAATTAAACATTATAACAGCAAATATTTATCATTCCGTGTTCAACATTATCCTTGTGGATACTTTTAAGCAAAATTTATATAAGACATATCTCTATTACCTAAAAGATGAAACCTTCAAGGGGGGTTCCGTGGACCCCTTCGACCCCCCCCCCCCCTGGATCCGCCACTGAGATACATCTTATTAACGTACTTCACATGTTCCATATTGGTCTCAGCTTCTATGTTCTATACTTTTGACCTGACAATGACTTTGCAATCGATTGTACATGTGATTCTTACATAGCAATCAGCTTGGTGGCTCTTTTAAAGGTATCGTTGAGAATGCGNTGTGATTCTTACATAGCAATCAGCTTGGTGGCTCYTTTAAAGGTATCGTTGAGAATGCGTTCGATTCTATTGTTGTCAAAGAAACTTGAAAAAAGGCATTGATTTAAACCTCAGTTTCTAGTCTTATATGGAGGCTTCGCACCATCATGTCATGGCAGCCATAATAGACCTTATTCGTGGTGTGACAATGTTTTCCCAATTCAGCGTGACAAACCTCTAGGGGAATGAAAAGCTATTGTTTTGAAACTCGTCGGGATATCATCGTTATTCCTTTCGTCGTATCCTTTGGGTAAAAWCAAAAGAAAATGAATCCCCTGGAAGTTCGTCACGCTTAATTGGGAAAACATTGTCACACTACGAATAAGGTTTATTGGAGACACAGCATTTGTCTTTTCTCCTGGGAAAYTGAATCCTTTCTAATGTAAATCAGATTAAACCAGATTCGACTGTTCCTGCCACCTGTCATGGCTGCCATCACGTGATGGTGCAAAGGCTCTAAATGAAAAACACCTTGAAGTTTTTTGTTCGTTTTTTCATTCTTACTTCTTTTCTTCCTTCCTTCATTTCAGAAAAAAATTGAGAACATTCCTAATCGTTGTACCCTTTCGTTGATTGGATTCAAGTTAACCAAGGGATTAAATTAAAAGTCAATATCCATTCGCTTTAAACTATTCACAATCTCAATTCATCAATTCTCATATAATCAAATATAATCTGTTTTAGATAGAAGGTTCCCCGCGAAGACATGGCATTTGACTTACACATTGATAAGTTYTGAAATATTCCTCATTAACTTCAAGTTGTCTAGGGATTTGATAAGATTGCTTCCAAAAAATCTAGAATCAGAATACAGTTAACTCACAGATCGAACCCTG